CAATTTTTTTTTTCAAAAGATTCCAATTTATCTGCGAAAAACAAACTGATGCAACAGCCAGACTTTTATTTATTTTATATCCTTAACATCTTTTATATATTTCTGTCCTGTCAACCCCTGCCCTTCCTTGGCGCAAATATGTCAAATGCAAAATACAAATTCTGTTACTTTCGTGGAAGAATAAACGAATACTGTTGCTAAATCGTTTTTTTCTTTTGTTAAGAAGTCCTTTAGAAAAATAAAAATAAATACAATACCCAGAAATCGTCTTAATTTGAAATGTAGACACCAATACATACATAAATACCAATGGTATTTAGATGGAGATTAATTAAAATTATATTTTTTTAAAAAAGATTTTTTCAAAGGTCTCCACAAGGTGTGGATTTTTAAAATATTTTGTTGAGGTCTCCACAAGCCGTGGATTTTCAAAGGTCTCCACAAGGCGTAGATTTTTTAAATAATTTTTTCAAAGGTCTCCACAAGGCGTAGATTTTTTTAATAATTTTTTCAAAGGTCTCCACAAGGCGTGGATTTTTAAAATAAATTTTTCAAAGGTCTCCACAAGGCGTGGATTTTTAAAATAAATTTTTCAAAGGTCTCCACAAGGCGTGGATTTTTAAAATAATTTTTTCAAAGGTCTCTACAAGGCGTGGATTTTTTAAATAATTTTTTCAAACGTCTCCACAAGGCGTGGATTTTTAAAATAATTTTTTCAAAAGTCTCCACAAGGCGTGGATTTTTAAAATAATTTTTTCAAAGGTCTCCAACAAGGCGTAGATTTTTTAAATAATTTTTTCAAAAATCTCCACAAGGCGTGGATTTTTAAAATAATTTTTTGCAAAGGTCTCCATAAGGCGTGGATTTTTTAAATAATTTTTTCAAAGGTCTCCACAAGGCGTAGATTTTTTAAATAATTTTTTCAAAGGTCTCCACAAGGCGTAGATTTTTTAAATATTTTTTTCAAAGGTCTCCACAAGGAGTGGATTTTTAAAATAATTTTTTCAAAGGTCTCCACAAGGCGTGGATTTTTAAAATATTTTTTTCAAAGGTCTCCATAAGGCGTGGATTTTTAAAATAATTTTTTCAAAGGTCTCCACAAGGCGTAGATTTTTTAAATAAATTTTTCAAAGGTCCCCACAGGGCGTGGATTTTTTAAATAATTTTTTCAAAGGTCTGCACAAGGCGTAGATTTTTTAAATAATTTTTTCAAAGGTCTCCACAAGGCGTGGATTTTTTAAATAATTTTGCAAAGGTCTCCACAAGGGGTAGATTTTTTAAATAATTTCTTTATTTTCAATATCTTCATTTTATTTATTTTTTTTTCATTTTTACATGCCACTGCAAAAAAAACCAATTTTCATAGGGAAATTGAAAAAATCGGATTCTTGTTTTGCATTGTTTTTCACAATGAAAAGTCGCCAGGAAATAGGGTCAAGTTTCGATTTCTTTCGAGAGCTGCGTGACAATGGAACATTGGACGTTTTGTATTTTATTTTTCACTTTTGAATGAAGACCAAGGGAAGGTCCTTGTGGCCCTGGGAAATTATAACAATATAAAGAAAAAATAACAACAACAACAAACGATCACTTGATAGGGAAAAGTAATTTAAAAGTTTTCAACAGAACACAATCACACATACATATTGGAACAATATGACTTTTGTTTGTGAGTGGCCAGGGCCCAGGCTAGCCATAAGGCAAGGAAAAATAAATCAAAAAATATTTATATGGAAAAAAGGTCTTATATGGGTATTGAAAATTATTTTTTCCAGTATGATAAAATTTGAATTTCTATTCAATTATTTTTTTTTATTTTTTCAATTTTATTTTCCTTGACCCCAATTTTCTTCTGTCAACAGAAATCAACAGATAAATGTCCATATATTTAACCGTATATCAATTTCTACAAATTTATTGTCATTATATTATAATATATGTATATTTGTTTGTATGTATGTGTGTGTGTGTTTGTGTGAATATTTACACACCTGTATATATCTGCTTATAAATAGTATAATTTCCAACATATATCAAATTAATATTGACTTGTGTGAAACCAAATGATGACCCAGCATGAGAGACACCTACACATACAGTAATGCGTAGATATGTGTATATGTGTGTGTGCGTGTGTTTGTATCCCTGCTATTGTCCGATACGATAATTCAATTGCTATTTGTCCCGTCCGGGTTTTTGGTGTTTGCGTAAAGTGTATTAAATATCATTTGATTATTTATCGATTGGAACAATTAAATAATTGGTGTGATTTTTCAATCATTGAGTTATGTGTGAAGGACACACACACACACACCAACACACAAGCACAAAGAGACACACCAAAACGAACATACAGGGTAAATATTTCTTAAATAATTTTTTCTGGGGTCTACATAAGGCGTGGATTTCTTAAATATTTTTTTCTGGGGTCTACATATAGCGTGGATTTCTTAAATATTTTTTTCTGGGGTCTACATATAGCGTGGATTTCTTAAATATTTTTTTCTGGGGTCTACATATAGCGTGGATTTCTTAAATAATTTTTTCTGGGGTCTACATAAGGCGTGGATTTCTTAAATAATTTTTTCTGGGGTCTACATAAGGCGTGGATTTCTTAAATAATTTTTTCTGGGGTCTACATAAGGCGTGGATTTCTTAAATAATTTTTTCTGGGGATTTTTTTAAAAACATATTTTTGCAAGGCATAACTATTCCTCCATTGCATTCTTTCACAATAACTTCATCAATTAAATCCCCAATTGCCTTTATATCCCCCTCCCATCCCTCGATTTTGACACTTTTCTAAATGACCATCCATTTCGGAATGAAGGCCTGTCTGTCTGTCGGTCTATTTTGTGGCCAGGATTTTGCTGTTGTTGTTGCTGCTTTTTGCATTCTGTGTAATACTTAAAAGAGATTTATGGTTTAGAAATTAAACTATTAAAAGGAAATTTATTATTTGCATTGTGTGTTGTTTGTAGGAGTGTGTGTGGGAGTATATATATATATATATATGTATGTGTGTGTGCCGAGTAATATTTTGTTTTCTACTCCAATACAAATAATCAAAAGGTATAAATTCTATAATGATTAATTGATAAAAATGTACACAAACTGCAAACAACAATAAATTGTCGTATTAAAGAGTTTGGCCAATTAGAGCTGGGGTCAGAGGTGAAAAGGGAGAGTTGGAGGCATTTGAGGCTTATGTATTTATGTGGGTAGCAGATGTTTAGAGGAAATGCCACACAGAATCTGAAAATTTATATTCAGAAAAAAATAAATGAATAACAAAAAGTTATTTAAAAAATCCACGCCTTATGTAGAACCTAGAAAAACATATTTAAACAATCTACGCCTTATTTAGAACCTAAAAAAAATATTTAAAAAATCCGCGCCTTATGTAGAGCCTAAAAAAATATTTAAAAAATCCACGCCCTCTGTGGGCCTTGGAATTTATAGTCCCTGAAAAAATTGTATTTTATTTATTTTAACCGATGATTTATGTATCTACTCTCGATCACAGGGTAGTTAAAAAAATGTCACACCTTGTATAGTATGTGCACTCTCAAACACACAACGACATCTATACTTCATCAACGATACATGTTGTTGTGTCTTTACTATCGGTCACAAGGTGGTCACCAATTTGATGTGTGTCTTCACTCATGTAAAATATAACCGCCATCTAGTGGTAAATATCTCAACTATATGAGTAGCTTTAATGAGTTTGATGAATGGAGTCCCCAATGTACCCTACTATAGCTTAAAAATCCACATCTTTTATAGTCCACGATTTTTTTTTTAATTCCACGCTTATGTGGATGTTGGAAAAAAATATTTAAAAAATCCACGCATAGAACCTAGAAAAAAAATTAAAAAATCCGCGCCTTTTGTAGAGCCTTAGTTAAAAAATGCCACACCTTGTTTAGTTTGTGCACTCTCGAACACACAACGACATCTATACTTCATCAACGATACATTAGTTGTGTCTTTACTATCGGTCACAAGGTGGTCACCAATTTGGTGTGTGTCTTCACTCAGGTAAAATATAACCGCCATCTAGTGGTAAATATCTGAACAATATGAGTAGCTTTAATGAGTTTGATGAATGGAGTCCCCAATATACCCTACTACAGCTTAAAAATCCACGTCTTTTGTAGTCCACGACTTTTCTTTTAAATTCCACGCTGATGTGGATGTTGTTATTTTAAAAATCGGCGCCTTATGTGGGCCATGGAAAACTTATTTACAAAAATCCTCGGCCTCCAAAAAAATTCTTTTTTAAAAAATCCACGCCTATTTCACTTTGTCCCCTTTTTTTAATTTCCCTTTTTATTTTATCACCTTTTGAATTTTTTGTTTATTTTTGTTATGCTGAAATGTGGTAGCCCAGAAGAAAACACCAACAAAAAATAAATATAAATTTTATTTATTTAATTTCCTGTTACTGTTGTTGCTGGCGTTCGTTCTGCTGTCAGTGATGGTTTTACGCAAACCATCACCCACACATTGTCATCATTTATTATTATTTTAATACCAATTTTCGTTGTCGTCATCGTCGTCGTTTTGTTCCCTCCGTTCAATGTCGTCGTATATCATTTATTGCATACTTTTGTGCGTTTGTATTTCCCCTCCATAAATATAAATCAATAATAATGAAATATAACTGAGCTGAAGGACCAACAGACGGAGGGATGGGAGGTTGAATGGGAGGATTTTGTGTGAGGAAACATTATTGACATTGCCAATATTTGATTTATCTCAATGTGAACATCTCAACCAAACTGCCAAACGTCATCATCATCGTCGTCATCACAAACATTCAGGACAGAAATTTTAACCACATTCACCTATATTCATTTATAGATTGGAATTACAACAACAACAAAATATGAAACCAAACCGACCAACAACAAATAATAATATTTTATATCTATATATCAGCAAATTTATTTATGATATCTTTTCACTATTTTCCCTCATATGTTTCATTACAGGTGTCCCTTCACAGCCAAGCAATTTCCGGGCCACCGATATCGGTGAGACCGCAGTTACATTGCAATGGTCTCGACCGACACATTCCAGTGAAAATATCGTCCATTACGAGCTATACTGGAATGACACATATGCAAATCAGGCCCATCACAAGTGAGTATTTTTTTTTTTTTTTGGTGTAACCTATGACCAGCAACAGGATATGATGCCACATGACACCTCGATTACTCCCTTCCCAACAATATTACATCCTCTCTCTCCAGCCAGTTAGTGGAAAATAATTGAAACAGGGCATTCACTCAAACTCATTTCAATATCTGGCTGTGAGTGCGATATAATTTTGATAGACGGAAATTTCATTAAATTCAATTAATGGTTTAAAACATAATTTAATAATCTAGAGGAAGGGTGCTATTTTGACACTTCAGGTCAGAGAGAGAAACAGAGGAAAAATACCACAAACGATAACAAACTAAAATAGGAAATTTCATAACTTTTTTATAACAGTGTTAATATAAGTTATCATAAATATTTAAATAGGAAAAGAAATCAGTTATCGTTATTTCGAACATTTTTTCTATAAAAATATTTTATTGACAATCGAAAAAAAAATTGTTTGGCGATTATCGCTAACAATTTCAATAGGAAATGTATCTACTCTCGATCACAGGGTAGTTTTTGAAAAAATGTCCCACCTTGTTTAGTTTGGCACTCTTAAACACACAGCGACATCTATGCTTCACCAACGTCACACGATTTGTGTCTTAACTCTCTATCACAAGGTGATTCCATAAAATCACAACATTTGGTGTGTGTGTGTGTGTCTTCACTCATGTAAAATATAAGCGCCATCTGGTGGCAAATATCTCAACTATATGAGTAGATTTAATGAGTTTTATTGATGGAGTTCCGCATTTACCCTACTACAACACAGTCTTACCTCTCTATCACAAGGTGATTCCATAAAGTCACCACATTTGGTGTGTGCCTTCACTCATGTAAAATATAAGCGCCATCTGGTGGCAAATATCTCAACTCTATGAGTAGATTTAATGAGTTTGATTGATGGAGTCCCACATTTACCCTACTACAACACAGTCTTAACTCTTGATCACAAGGTGATTCCATAAAGTCACCACATTTGGTGTGTGTGTGTGTGTCTTCACTCATGTAAAATATAAGCGCCATCTGGTGGCAAATATCTCAACTATATGAGCAGATTTAATGAGTTTGATTGGTGGAGTCCCAAGTTTACCCTACTACAACACAGTCTTAACTCTCGAACACAAGGTGATTCCATAAAGTAACCACATATGGTGTGTGTCTTCACTCATGTAAAATATAACCGCCATCTGGTGGCAAATATCTCAACTATATGATTAGATTTCATGAGTTTGATTGGTGGAGTCCCAAGTTTACCCTACTACAACACAGTCTTAACTCTCTTTCACAAGGTGATTTCATAAAGTAACCACATTTGGTATGTGTCTTCACTCATGTAAAATAAAAGCGCCATATAGTGGCAAATATCTCAACTATATGAGTAGATTTAATGAGTTTGATTGGTGGAGTTTACCCAAGTTAACCCTACTACAACACAGTCTTAACTCTTGATCACAAGGTGATTCCATAAAGTCACCACATTTGGTGTGTGTGTCTTCACTCATTTAAAATATAAGCGCCATCTGGTGGCAAATATCTCAACTATATGAGTAGATTTAATGAGTTTGATTGGTGGAGTCCCAAGTTTACCCTACTACAACACAGTCTTAACTCTCGATCACAAGGTGATTTCATAAAGTCACCACATTTGGTGTGTGCCTTCACTCATGTAAAATATAAGCGCCATCTGGGGGCAAATATCTCAACTCTATGAGTAGATTTAATGAGTTTCATTGATGGAGTCCCACATTTACCCTACTACAACACAGTCTTAACTCTTGATCACAAGGTGATTCCATAAAGTCACCATATTTGGTGTGAGTCTTCCCTCATGTAAAAATATAAGCCCCATCTGGTGGAAAATATCTCAACTATATGAGCAGATTTAATGAGTATGATTGGTGGAGTCCCAAGTTTACCCTACTATAAAACAGCTTCAGGTGTTTTAAAAATTGTATTAACACTCTATAATAGAACTTTTACAGTCCCTGAAAAAAAGTATTTAAAAATCCACGCCTTTTACAGTCCCTGAAAAAAAGTATTTAAAAAATCCACGCCTTTTACAGTCCCTGAAAAAAAGTATTTAAAAAATCCACGTCTTTTACAGTCCCTGAAAAAAATTATTTAAAAAATCCACGCCTTTTACAGTCCCTGAAAAAAATTATTTAAAAAATCCACGCCTTTTACAGTCCCTGAAAAAAATTATTTAAAAAATCCACGCCTTTTACAGTCCCTGAAAAAAATTATTTAAAAAATCCACGCCTTTTACAGTCCCTGAAAAAAATTATTTAAAAAATCCACGCCTTTTACAGTCCCTGAAAAAAATTGTTTAAAAAATCCACGCCTTTTACAGTCCCTGAAAAAAATTATTTAAAAAATCCAAGTCTTTTATTGTCCCTGAAAAAAATTTTTTTTTTTAAATCCACGCCTTTCATAGTCCCTGAAAAAAATTATTTAAAAAATCCACGCCTTTTACAGTCCCTGAAAAAAATTATTTAAAAAATCCACGCCTTTTACAGTCCCAGAAAAAAATTATTTAAAAAACCCAAGCCTTTTTTTGGTGTGTGTGTGTGTCTTCACTCATGTAAAATATAACCGCCATCTGGTGACAAATATCTAAACTATATGAATAGCTTTAATGAGTTTGAATGGTGGAGTCCCGACTTCACCCTACTACAACACAGCTTCAGGAGTTTTAAAGACTTGAACTTTAAAAATGTAAAAAAAATTTATAGGAAAATTTTTCCGATTATCACAAAAAAAACTTCCAATAAATATTTAAAAGAAATATTTATAATTTTTTTTTCTTCTAATAATTTCATATAATTTCTCCTCAGGCGTATTTCGAACACCGAATCTTATACGCTAGATGGTTTGTATCCTGATACATTGTATTATATATGGCTGGCCGCTCGTTCCCAAAGAGGCGAAGGTGCAACAACCCCACCCATACCCGTCCGTACAAAACAATATGGTAAGCAATCAAATTTTCTTTACTCCCAGGTTTTTTTTTACAAACAATTTTTTATAAAAAAACAATTATATGGAAAAATTAACTACTACAACAACAATAAACATATATATATCATTATAGTAATATTTATATAAAATATATACTTTAACATATTTATTTATAAAAAAATATATATACATATAAATATATATATATATATATATATATATATATAAAAAACACAAAATGATATCCAAAAAAAAAATAACTAAACTTAAGGTGCCAAAAAAATAATCAACGAATTTCGTACAATGCATAGCTTAAGTTGTTCAGAAAAATTTCAACAATTAAAAAATAATTTTTTTTTTTAATTTTAAATTTTGGTAGATTTTTTTATATAATTTCTGCATATGTATAGTATTGAATTTGTTTTTATTATATTTAAACCCTTACATAAAAAAATTATTAACTCATTAAAAAAATTACCCAAAAATATTTAAAAATATTTTTCCTCATATCATTTATCTACGAAATTTTCAAATACCCGATCCCTGGTAATATCTAACAAAAAGGTGCTTAGTTTCATATCCCCCATAGAGGATATACTGGACAATTAAATTATGATTTTCGTTATTTTTAAAAATTTATTTTTAATAATTTAATTTCCACCAAAACCTACAAACAGAACATAAGGATCACCACAGTACAGCACCTATTCGAAGTACACCTCTCCGAATATATATATACATTAAGAATACATACATATATAAATACTTTACATATAGTTTACACCTACATAGACATTAATTATATAATTACCAACTACAATTAATACATATTTACATATATAAAAATATATACACTTATATACATACATATTTACAAGTTACATACATAGAAATAACTACATGTTTACACAGCATTTAGTTTTTATTAGTTATTTATTTAAACTATTTAAAATATTTAAGTTTGTTAAGTATTTATGTATATATTTACTTTTAGAAAAAAAAAATATTTATTTATTTATTGTATACACAAAACCACCTAACTTAGTTCATACATATTTACTCTACCAAATATTACATAGAGCAAAAAAAACATTATCACAGACAAGAAACAAAAACAAAACCCTGGCATGATTTTTAAATACAAACTATAATTTTTTTCAAATTTCTCATATAAAAATAAAAGTTAATAAAATTTTAAAAATTATTTTTCTATAAAAAATACATAAAATTCCTTTGAAGAAAATTATTTAAAAATTTATAAATGTTCGATATAGAAAATTCAAAAAAATTCTAGTTTGTTGCTCTCAACTACACAGTGACATCTATACTTCATCAACGACATATGATTTGTGTCCTTACTCTCGATCACAGGGTGGTTTCATAGAGTCACGCCTTGGTGGTTGTCTACACTCAGGTGCCTTCAATTGTCATAGAAAAAATATTCTTATAAAATCCAGACCAAATTGTTTTGATCATCTCTCTATCACACACACACGGCGACATCTATACTTCATCAAGAACTTCTGGTTTGTGTCATTAACACCATTTGGTGTGTGTCTCTATTCTGATACGAATAAGTTTAATGAGTTGAATTGGTAAACTCCCAAATTAACCCTACTATCAAGGAGTTTTATCAAATGAAATCCACACCCTGTAATAGACCTTAAAAAACCCATTGAGGGATCCCATGATACCTTCAACAACTACCATACAATGGAATATAATTTTCAATAGATTAAAATCATGATTTCGTGCAAATGGTGGCGACATCCCATATGTTTGACCCTCTCTCAGCCACGCTTAATTAGCTGGCTTGTGGCAGAACGGTTGTTTCACAAGCCGAGCTTAAAACAGATTTCCACGTGCGTCGGTCTTGTGCGCAGCTCAAACAATTTGAAACACCATGCTCCGAGATGTTGTCTTTCACTTGATATTTCCATGGAATTTGTGGACATGATACCTTACACAGCTACCATACACGATCACGATTTCGTTGTCCCATATTTATAACCTTAACTAATTCTGAATAAAATTCGAGTTAGTGCTCCTTAAGTAAAATTTAAGCTTGTGGTGGCAAAAAAAAAATCCTCCAATTGCCTTCGAATAAAATATTCTTTAAAATCACATACATCCCATATGTTTGACCCTGTATCAGCCACACTTAATTAGTTGACTTCTGGCAGAACGGTTGTTTCACAAGGCGAGCTTAAAAAAAAAATTTCCACGTGCGTCGGTCTTGTGCGCAGCTCATCCAATTTGAAAGACCATGCTCCGAGATGTTGTCTTTCACTTGATGTTTCCATCGAATTTGTGGACTTGCCCTTCGGCGTGATCCATCACTTGGCTCGCTTTTATGTGCCATTTGAGCTGGAGCATCCTCATACATTCTAACAACATGACCTCGCCAGCGTAGCCGCTGCAGCTCGATCCGTCCGACTATGTCGATGTCCGAAAATAGATGGTACAGCTCATGGGGCTCATTCAACGACGATATTCACCGTCAACGCAGATCGGCCCATAGATCATCCGGAAAATTTTTTCTCTCAAACACACCAAGAGCTACTTCATCTCTTTGCGCAAGTGCCCATGCTTCAGATCCATATAACAGCACGGGTGTAGAATGTGAGTTTGGTCTGGCGAGAGGTGGTCTTGTTTTTTAAACTGGTTACTTAGACCATAGTAGCATCACTTGGCCAACGATAGTGACATTAGTTTTAATAATGACGGTAGCAAGGCATTTGAAATCTTTAACTACCTCGAAGCTGTAGTTCTTAAGTTCCGAGACTACTGGACGTCTTGCACATTGATACCAGCAGCTTGTCTTCACGTCATTTACTGCCAGTTCCACTATGACAGACTCCGTCTCAATTCATTCAAAGGTGGCGGTTACCGCTCGCAATGTTCTACCCAGTATGCCGATGTCGTCGGCGTAGGCGAGTACCAAATGCTGTTTGGTGTACAGAGTGCCATTTCTGTTCACATTTGCATCTCGTATGACCTTTTCCAGCAGAATGCAAACTGCACACAGGTGCAACAAAATATCTTCAGAAAACTTCTTATAAAATCCTCGCCTTATTAGTTAGAATATATCTCAGCCAGCCAGCAATATCTATACCTCATCAACAACTCATGATTGGGGTCTTAACTTTATCACAAGGTTATTCACTCGATCACAGGATGATTTCATAAACTTACCACACATCTGGGGTGTGTGTGTCTACACTCAAGTAAAATATAAACGCCATCTGGCGGTAAATATTTGAACTATATGAGTAGCTTTAATGAGTTTCATTGGTGAAGTCCCAAATTTACCCTACTACCAGATGGCTTTAGGTGTTTGAAAAAAATTCACACCAAAAAAAAAAAGCTTCCACATGTCTTAAGAAAAAAAACTTCTTCTAAAATTTCCGCAATATTAGTTTGGGACTCTCTCTCTCTCTCTAGCCAAATAGCGCCACATATACAGATTGGTTTCGACTGGTGTGTGTGCCTACACTCAAGTAAAATATGACCGCCATCTGGTGGTAAATATCTGAACTACATGAATAGCTTTAATGAGTTTAATGGTTAAACTCCCGAATTTGCCCTACTACAAGCTTATTTCGTGTGTTAAAAAAATTTCGCATCCAATAATAGATCTAGAAAAAATGTAAAAAAAACGATATTATTTTTGGCCTTTGTTCAACAATTGAGATTTAAAAACAAAAACTATAAATAGTTCTATATCGAACATTTTTCAATCTAGAATTTTTAATTTACATTTGTTATTTTTTTTTAATTTATATAAATATTTATTGAGCTCAAAAAATTGATAATTTTTCCAAATATCAATTAAAAAGCAAGTATAAATATTTTCGAAAATTTATAAATTTTTGAGAATAGTTATATGTTGATAAAATATTTCGAGTTTTAAAAAAGTGATAAATTATGGAATTACCTTTTCTTTTTGAAAGATAAAACTCCCAAAACTCATAGTAAGATACACCAACAAAAATTTACTCCAACAGCAATAACATTCCAACATGATATTTTAAATTTTTTGTTTTTTTAAGAGATTATATTTTTCTCTAGTGTTTTTTTAGCGATTTCTATTTTCTATTATTTTATTTAATGTTTTTTTTTTACCTAATCTCCCTTGTGTCCAGTTGTCATTCCAATTCTCAATAGGTGAAGAAAAAAAAGGTGACAACTTCTTGAAAAAAAGTGTAACAAAACTTTCGACTTCCTAATTCGCATTTTATGCAATAAAGATAAAAATATGCACCTTCTTCAAGCACCAAAATAAATAAAATTTACACATTTTAATAAAATTAAAAAAATGTTCACCCCTGCATGCTTTGCACTAAGTCACATTGATATATTTTTTTAATTTTCCATATATCACTTATTGTTATTAATAATTGAAATTATTTCTCACTTGAATTCACTTAACGCACCAATAAAAATTCGTCGACAAGTCCCTAGCACCCACCTGCAAACTCCTAACCTTTTTGCACCTTATAAAGATATATTTTGCAAACCCCACCCCTCAAAAAATCACAATAATAAATTTATTTACCACAAAAAAAATCACCTGCAAAATGTAAATTAATAGGTTTATAAATATGATATATATATTTTTTGTATATGGCACCTTTTAGTCGTGTATTTGTGTGTGTTTTCCTTCGTTAATTTTTCGTGGAATTTTTTAATTGCCAACGAAAGACGAAACTGAAGCACAAAAAATTAATAAAAAAAAATCTGCACCAAACAGCACCATCTAGTGATAGGGATATAAATTATTGTTATACAAATACACTTTAAAAATATTTTTTTTTTTTTTATATATTTCTTATTTTCAATATTTCTGTAGAAGCAATTTTTCACATAATTTGCACTTGCGCACATATTTATAATTAATTTGCACATTTATAATATGAATGTAGGCTTTATGCATGTTGTATATTGAAAACGTATTAAATACCTGTAAATATATTAAAACAATAATTTTTTATTCCTGTTATTTTTTTTATA